ACCCTCTTTATCCAATCATCTATCAAAGGACGCTTTGTTTCCATGTCTTGGCCACTGTGAATAATGCTGCAGTGAAGATAAGGGTGCATATATCTTTGTGATTAAATGTTTTCAAAATTTTCAGGTAGATACCCAAAACAGGGGTTGCTGAGTTATATGGTAACTCTAGTCCTAATTTTTTGAGGAGCCTCCATACTGTTTTCCACGGTGGCTGCACCAGTTTACATTCACACCAACAGTAAACGAGGGTTCCTTTTTCTCCACAATCTCTCCAACAATTATTACTTGTGTTTATAACAGCCTTCTAACAGGTGTGAGGTGGCATTTCATTGTAGTTTTGATTTCATTTCCTAATAGCTAGTGAAATTGAACACCTTTTCATGTATCTGTTGGCCATTTGTACGTCTTCTTGAGAGAGGTATCTGCTCAGGTCATCTGCCTATTTTTTAAATTAGACTGTTTGCTTGCTGTTGAGTTGTCTGAGTTCTTTATATATTTTGGATGATAACCCCGTGTCAAAGCTGTTGTTTGCAAATATCGTCTCCCAACCTCTCTAAATTCTTGCTCTTCATCTCTGTCTCCCATCGCACTGTAGGAGCCAGTGTTTCCAGCTCATCCTGCTTGTTTTTTGTCCTGTTTCTTTGTGTAACTCACATCACCCCTAAATATCTCTCTTCCTCTGTTTCCCTGCAGCCATGGGTCAGGGCCCTCTGTCTACAGTCTGGTCCTTTCCCCTGCTCCTCTGGTTCCTGGTCGGGGGAGTCTTCCCAGGGAGTCTGGGCCTCCTCTGACCCATCAGACTCTGAACAGCCCTGCCTGCCACCTCTGCCCAACATGAGGACGTCGGCCACATGTGTGCTTTACTCTAAGTGTAGCCAAGATCCGTAGAAATGCCTCCTGCAGGGAACTCTGGGGCCTTCTCTGGCAGCTGCCAGGCCTGATGGTGGAGAGACAGAATTTTGGGCCTGAACTTTACCCAGTGCCCTAGGAGTGAGACATTGAAGAGAGGTAGGGGGACTCCAGGACAGGCAACAACTCACTTGGAGGTAGAAGATTAAACTCGTTTGTGCGTGGAGGTGCTGGGAGGAAAGCACGTGCCATGGTACTTGCTGGTGTCACTCACATGCCTCACATGGACAAACTGGAAAGCTCCTCTTCACTCCTCCAGGGAGCTTTCTCTGACCTCTCTGACCCTGCTGGGTGAGGGTGCTGCCTCTGTGCTCCGCAGGTCCTTGGAGCTTCTCTGCACCACATGTCCATGTCTGTTGCCCGTGACAGACTGTGAGCTTCCTGAGGTCAGGAACTGGGTTGAGGCACAGAGGTGGATGCTGGGAAGCATGTGAAAGTCAGAAAGGAACAAAGACCTGTGAACAGCTGGTCCCCTGCATGGCCCTCCCTTGGATACTTTCAAGTCCTCTGAACGTCAGTGTGGGGGAATGCGACGGACAGAAGCGAACCCAGAGAGAGGAGAGCAGGAAAGACAGCAGAGCGCTTGCTTCAGGCCCTCTGCCAGGGCTCGGTCAAATCCGTCATTTTCTTGTCAGCAAAGATGTAATTCCTGCTCTCACCCATGAGTCCTAAGGCTCCTGTTTCTAGAGAGACAAACCTGGATCCCCATCTCCCGTCACCATGGGCCCCAAGGGTAAGACAGGACATCGAGGAGGTACCAGGCACACACTCCCTTTATGAGGAATTGGGGCTTTAGAGCCAAATCTTTGTGTGGCCTCCTGCTCTGGAAACTAGATCATAAATCTGAATCCCCGAACCCCTTCCCTGAGCCCCTAGACAGGGACAGGCAAGACCAAGCTCCTCTAACAGCAGCCACTGAGGAAGGAAGAGAAGGCAGGCAATGTTGCGGTTCTGTTTCGCATATAACTTGCACTCTCCCCACTGAAAACTCTAACATTCATGAAGTTCAGTTCTGTCCCTCTAGGACTGCACTTTGACCTTGAACCTTCTTAGAGCCCTTCCCCTATAGGAATTAAGGGAGTGGCAAGCTCTAGATTTTTCTTAGAGATCAGGATACATAGACAACAAGTGCTCCCTCGTGGTTTGTGAAGTCAGCAGTGCTGACCCTGAGAGAGGGCGTCCCAGGCTCTAAGGCAGGGATGGTGAACCTTTTGAGCTCAGCGTGCCAGCATTTTGAAAAACCCTAACTTAACTCTGGTGCCGTGTCACATTTAGAAATTTTTTGATATTTGCAACCATAGTAAAACAAAGACTTATATTTTTGATATTTATTTTATATATTTAAATGCCATTTAACAAGGAAAAATCAACCAAGTGCAGTGGGGAGAGACTGGGTGGACTGAGGGCCAGCAACCGCCTGGTCTTCCATACCCTGTCGCACTGCTGTGGCTGCAGCAGACCCCGATTCACAGCGCCTGCACGAGCACCAGGAGGCTCATGACCAGGGCCATGGAGAAGAAGATGCCCAGGAAGAAGCGATCCATCACACGGGCCAGGCGTTTCCAGTCCTCGTGGCGGTGCTGGGCAGCCCGGTGGCTGCGGAAGGTGTTAGCAATGGTGGCTACATGGTGCAGCAGCTCTTCCTGATGGCACAGACACCGGGGCTCATGGCAAGGGCCTGCTGGGGGGCCAGCCCCTCCCTCAGGAGGCTGGGGACTGGGGGGTGACTCGTGCCGTCTAGACTTCCCACAGGACTCCCCTCGTTCTCGCACGCACAGGCCCCGTGCCAGGTATCCCAGTAGGAAAGCCCGAGCCCAGGCCGGCACTGGACGGGCACTGGGACCACAGTAATGCAAGTTCATGATAAGGATAGTGAGCGCTGTGGAGAAGGTGATCATGGTCATGGTGGCCATGTAGTACTTCCCTGCAAAAGACAGAGCGAGCTGGGGCCCAGAAAAAGAGCTCAGGGGGCCTGAGCTCTCCAGCCCCCTCAGCATGAACAGGAACCCACCAAGAGGCTGTCGGGCCCTCCAAGCCCAATGGATGAAAGAGGAAGGAGGTAAGGGCCAAGGCTCCCCAGTCCGCATTCCCACAAGTGGGTTCTCAGAAGCTAAGTGCTGCTGATATCCCCCCTCACTGCTGGAGGCTGCGTTTACCCACAAGTCACCTCTCTAAGGGTTATGCCATGACATGGGGCCAGTGAAGGACCTTTCAGTACAGGGGGGCATACAGCAGAACCTGCCTGTCGGTCTGTGGAGATGCTTCCCTGGGTTAATTAAGGTCCATTGCTTAGCACAGTGCTTGGCACAGTGAACACTCAGGACACTTGGCCTGTTATTATGACGCTGGGGGCAGTGACCTCCCTCCATCAGCTTCTTGAGAAAAGACTCTTTCCTCTGCCCCTTCCTGTAAGGCAGTGGTTCGAAACCTTGGCTGCACATTAGAATCACCTGGGAATCTTTTTAAAATCCTGATTTCTGGGCCTCATCCTCCGAAATTCTGTTTCTTTGTTACTAATGTGGTGGCCTCACCCCATAACAAAAAAACACACACACACAGAATTTCCGGAGGATGAGGCCCAGAAATCAGGATTTTAAAAAGATTCCCAGGTGATTCTAACGTGCAGCCAAGGTTACGAACCACTGCTGTAAGGGAGGGTGTCCTCCTGGAAGGGGCTTCCTCCTTCCCCCTCAGTCTCGGGAACAGGCGTGCTCCCAGGACGACCCCCTCACACACTGAAGCGGGGCCACTCTGGCGACCCGGGCCCCGTCCCCGCACTGGTGGAGACCCGCACGCATCCGCCGGAGTGGGGAAGGGGGGCCATTGTCTCGGAGGGGACGGCTCTTCCCCGCACCCCCAC